CTCTCTCACGCACAGGCACACACAAACGAAAAAAAAAAAGTGGCAGTGTATATTTCCAGTTTCTCGGCAAAGATTCGCTCCTATTTTGCTGAGCCTGTCGATAGACGTAGCTACTCTCTCTCTCTCCAACCATGACCGCTGCTTCTCTCTTTCTCTCTCTCTCTCTCTCTCTCTCTCTCTCTCACACACACACACACACACACACACACACACACACACACACACACGCAGGCAGGCAGGCAGGCACACCCACACACACACACAAACGAAAAAAAGAAAAGTGGCAGTGTACATTCATTCCGATTTTGCTCAGCCTACGCGGCGGCCGTCATGGTTACACACAAACAAAAAAAAGAGAAGTGGCAGTGTACATTTCCAGTTTCTCTGCCAAGATTCGTTCCGATTTTGCTCAGCCTACCCGGCGGCGGTCATGGTTGGAGAGATGGAGAGTGGCCAGGTCTATCTATAGGCTGAGCAAAATCTGAATGAACCTTGGCCGAGAAACTGGTAATATACACTGGCACTTTTTTTTTTTTCGTTTGTGTGTGTGTGTGTGCGTGTGCGTGTGCGTGAGAGAGAGAGAGAGAGAGAGAGAGAGAGAGAGAGAGAGAGAGAGAGAGGGGCAGCAGGAGTAGGCGGGTGAGGGGGCAGCAGCGACAGCCCGAGCCGGAGCGGGAGTGGGCGGCTACGAGAGAGAGAGAGAGAGAGAGAGAGAGAGAGAGAGAAAGAAGGGGGGAGAGAGAGAGAGAGAGAGAGAGAGAGAGAGAGGATTGGAACTATATAAAGAAGATTAGCATGTCCCAAAAAAAAAAGGTGCGAATGTATCTGGCACAGACAATGGACCAGATACATTCGCACTAAGTCTTTGGTGTGCCCAGCAGCAGACCCACAGAGAGAGAGAGAGAGAGAATGGGGCGGGTGTTAAGGGGGCACTTACTGACAAAGTGGGATCCGTTTCCATCCCGAACCCATTCCTGCCAGAAGCCAAAAAGGAAAAAACAAACAAAAAAAAAAAAACGTCCTTCCGGACATCCGTTAAAATTGGAACGATAGGGGGAACGGGAGCTCTCCGTGGTAGTGCTGCGCTACCTATGACACCGCCTTCCGGAAACGGCGGTGCTCTGCATTGGCAGCAAGGCTTGGGTTACGGGGCGTGGGACGGAGCTATGGAGTACTCGGTACTCCCAAGGTTCGGCCATCTCGCTCAGCCTCGACAAGGGGCTGTGCCTCCCTGTGGAATCCTGTGGAATACCAGGGAGCAGGGTGGTTCCGGAGCCCTCCACAACCTTTAATGCTCAAATCTCAGGCGATTGTAACCTCTGTATGAACCCCGTTCTTGGGAAACATACATGACCAACGGCACGAAGAAGGGAGAGTGAGTCCAGTGCACGGTGAATGGTGAGTCAGACAGCGGCACTTCCGGAAGCAGCGGGAGGGCAACTGGCAGTGGTGGGACTGTTGGTGTGAGGAGCACAAGCCAAGCACTAGTGACTACCTCAACTGGGAGCGTGAAGTACGAGAAGACCTGAAGCTCTACCAGCAAGGCTCTTTGAGACTCCGGGTTGAATTGTGAGGTCCCTGGCCTCAGTCACTCTTTAAAAAGGAAAAAAGAAAAAAAGAAAAAACGGCAAGAAAAACAATGAACTGCGTGTTAGACGGCCTACCGGTTCGATAATCCGCAAAAACGGGAGGTGGCCTGGCCTAACAGGTACCCGTAGCAGGCCCTCCCATTTTTTTTGTGTTTTTTTTTTTCCTTTTTTTTTTTATTTCGACCATTTCTCGATTTATGTGTGGCCATGCTAATCTTCTCTGTATCTTTCCAATTTTTTTTATTTTATTTATTTTTTTAAGAAGTCACAGTTTATATTATAGAAAATTGGAGAACTGAGGCCGGGAATCCCTCAACATCTCAACCCGGAATTCCTGGGGCCAATACCCAGTTTAGGCTTTACTGGAAAACGGGTCCAGTGTCCCATGTACGGCAACTTCAATCAATAAGAAAATCGCAGCTGGACTAACAAATTACAAAACCAGAAATAAAAGAGGCAACCACTAAGCAAATTAACCAGTTATTCTGCTATTCTGACTGGGAGCCTTACCCAGCTTCGCTTAAAGATATTACAGAAAAAAGGACAGTTCTMGGACTACCTCCAATGAAGAGACCTTGCTTACATTGGCMGGAGACCATAGCCTAATGTGACTAGCCAAGAAAMGACAAATACCCAAGGATCTAAAGCAAACTACAGAGTTCTATCTGGAGCAGGTGATTTGCAGAAATCCGAAAGAAGATCCATCAACACCAAAAGAGAGGCCSGTCGGAMCAGCTAATAGCCGTGTGGAGCCGGGGTTGTCATGACGAGGTTTCCCACCTTGTACCCTTGAGACTCTGTAGGGAGTATCATATTCCAGGTACTCTAGATCTCAATGGGTACAACCCAGATTTGCTCTTTTATCAGGTACAACCCAGATTTGCTCTTTTATCAGCTAAATGCTAATCGGCCGTGCCCTAAGTAGCTCAGCAACGCTGCCACAACCACTAGTAGGTCTCCCACTACCTCCAGACGTTCCATTGCCTGCTACAGACAAGCCCAGTATAGATACCAAAGGAGAAGAACTTAGCAAGGAAATATCAGGTGTGTTACAAACTGGAGGCAACCAAGCTAAGGAAAGAACACCATCCATCTAAGTTTACACCGAAATGAAGCCAAGCAACAGAAAGGAGCACCAACAATCTAAATTCACACCGTAATGAGGCCAAGCCACAGAAAAAGCACCAACACTAAGTTCACACCGCAATGAAGCCACGCAACAGAAAGGGCACCAACACTGTAAGTTCGGAAACATGAAGAGTAGCCAAGATTATGTTCGAAGTCCCAGAGAGTGGCACAGATGGCTTAAAGAAGGGAAAATAATTCCACGTTCAATGGAACAGGGAAACCGCTCAGATAAGGAGGAGCCGGTATACCTAAATCAGGGGAGGGTAGATAAAGTGAACGTCTCTACGTGTCATCGTGACCTGCGGTCGAGACTAATGCTCTGCTCCCTTTGCACTACCGGAAATGCTCCCACGGCCACCAGTGAAAGTCCAAAGGAAGCCTTAACCACCTTGACGGGTTTCCCACCACGCACCCTTGGATCTTCGATGAAATCTACGATCAGTAGAACCAAGATCACCATGGATACAGTTCAAGTTTGCTTCCTATCCTATTAATCCCAAC